GACGCAGATGTTGGGAAGCCTTGACAGAGGATTTCGATTTTTCTCGCAATCGATAAAATCACGTGGCAGTGGAAACATTATTATTATAATCGAGCAATTTCACCGTGCAGCAACGAAGGATGATTCCAGGAAAAACAAAAAAGATACTGCTCGAACTGATGATTTATATAAGCGATCGCATATCCCTTACTTTGGAAACGTTGTTCCCTGCATTAAAAACTCATTTTATATCTGTAAAGTATTATACATTGAAAACAACTTACTTCAATTCACGTCGTAAACCTTGCACGTCAATCCAGTTCCTGCCTCGTGGCATTCACTGACTAGTACTGCATGATAAACGTCACGCAAACGTCACGCCGAAGACGTCAATGCACTACACAGAAGTCCCACAGATCATAACTTTCTCTGCGGCATTTCGTTGAGTTCGTTGTAGTCTTGTTAATTTACACCTACTGTAAAAGCTCCATTAATCCCCCGGGGCTTAGTTAATAATGGGGAACTTATTAGAGAGGAGGGCGCAATAGAGAGAAGGAGGGGTTTATTTCAAATCTTAAACATACCGTTTTTGTCCCAGGTAGGTTTTTTTTTCCAAAGCTCAAACAACTGTAGTCTAAATTTATTACGTAATAACGAGTAGCAAACAGTGGTATGTGTTTGAGTGTATATTTCTGTAATAACAAACCAAATGGCTGCAGAAAAAAAAAAAAATGCGAGGGGACATGTTAGATAGGGGCGCTTATTATAAAAGCCTACTTCCAAACAGCGGACTTATTAAAGAAGCGGGGTTAAACAGAGGGGGGCTTTGCTAGAGCTTTTTTACGGTATTGCACTATCTCAGGAGAGGAAGTAAACCACATCGGTCGTTTATAATACGTGTTCTTTTTCTTTTTCAAAGCCCAATTACAAAATATAGTCTAGACAGAGTTGAACAAAACCATCGTCTCTATAGCTGAGTTTAAGTTATCTGAACAAGAACATTCTGTTATCACTTACTATGATTCAAAATAAAACGTGTATAGCAACCTTAAGACTAGGGCTATCACGATAAACAGATGATAGATTGTCGAGTGAGGCCAGCCTTTATTTACACAATTGTTTGACACATTTAGTAGCAGCGCGTTTAGGAGCACGCCAATATCCTTACTAGTTTGGTCAGTGTTTTACAGTTATTCATCTGATTCATAACTCACGAGACTGAGATTTAAGCTGGCACCTTTTGTAGATTTCCTTTAAAAATATATACTTGTCTGCTGGGGGATGTGTAGGTCTTAGATTCATCGATCTTTGCGGAGTTGACAAAGCGACATGTTAAATATAGTGTGTGGGTCAGTTCGAAAATTAAGGAGTGCGCCAAGGTTAATTCATGATCTTCAATTTATTTTTCACAATTATAACAACACTTTCCCTAAAACAATATTACTGTAATCATCAGGCGACACAATGAGGCCTGAAGTGGAATTTTTCAGTCACCTGTCCATATACCTCTATATGCAAAGCACATCGAGTTTATAAACCACCTTTTTTCGGTACTGGTTCCTTTTTGTTGTAACCAACAAATCTGAAAATTAAACCACCCGTTGCTATTGCAGTATTGTACAGTTAGATAGTATCATTTATTCCTGCCTCTCCAAAAATTGCGGTGAAATGATCATTTGTATCATCTAGCAAATAGGGAACTTTAGTGACTTTTGCCATTTTCTGACATTGGTTCCTTCAAATCTTCATAAAAAATAACGGATGGTGATTCTGTTGTCAAATTTGCTTTGTTATATTGCCAAATGATTGCTTTAATTGCTGTATGATTTTGAGCTCAATCAATGAAAATTAAATAGCGATTTTTATTGTCCGAACTTAGGAAACGAAAAAAGGCATATTTCGAATTCTGAAACCTTTCATCGACATGAAAAGTCAAACACATACACGGCAGATTTTTAAAGCCGCAGATATCTCAGATTTAAAAGGTTGTGGTGATCGAGAGAATTGAGTGGCGCATAAATGGTAAGTCAATAGCTCCCTCTTGACCAACAAATTGGATTTAAAGCTTTTGAATTGGCTGATACCACGGCATAGGGCACTTTCGTGCCCTCTTAAGCACAAATAGTGATCTGTTTAAGTCAGGATTAGATGGTATTGGCGAACCTCTCGCATGCAGAAAGGTTAGATCATGAGGCTTTGTTAGATGGCTTGTCAAAAGTTACCACACAAAAAGGCTTGATCTATCATCAAAAGAGGGAAACGTCAGAAAAGTGCCCTAATATTCTTCTAGAGGGAGGAGAGGGAGAGAGAGAGAGAGAGAGAGAGAGAGAGAGAGAGAGAGAGAGAGAGAGAGAGAGAGAGAGAGAGAGTAGGTAATGTGCTAAAAAAGACAACATGAGATAAATACCTTTAAATAGAAGGAAAGTATCAACACGTTTTGCAGACAAGCTAGTCCAGCAGATCTGATTGCATTAGTATAGTTTAGTACCGGATCGAAATGTTACAGCAAAAATTCAACTGAATTGAAAAATGTTGGCAGGTTCGTCCAATTAAGGCCATTTCAGAGTGTTGTGGTCTTTGTTGTTCTGTCGGACAATCGGATCTCCGATCCCCTTACAGTAATGCTGATCCCGATCTGATTAATCTTATACGATTAATTCTTAAATAGGTATGTTTATATTGCTTTGTTCACCGCATTCTTTCCTTTTAATCGAATTGTTAACTACTTCTCTTATCTTAATTGTTATTTTTTTAGTCGCATCGTCACTGAAAAGCCCCACCAGGGGAGTGTCAATAAACTATTGTATTGTATTGTATTGTATTGTATTGTAACGGCTTGCGATCCCAGATTCCATATACCTTGGTACGACCCTGAAAGGATGACCGGACAGGAAACGGTAGCGCCTCTTAGAATGCATTTCTATAGAGATCTTAAAGTACTCTGGTTAGTCTAAATAGACTAAATAGTGTTTTAAATGTATTTAGGAAGAAATTGTCGTTGGGTGCCCCTATTGCAACCACAACCCCCAAACTCCCAGGAATAGTGGGGAAATGACAAAAGTATCCTCGCAATTTAAAGGATTTACCCCAGACCCTAGGGACAGATTCACATGGTAATTACCCCTCCCTACGTCTGGCTCACAACGACCCGCTATTCAAGTCTAACAAATGACTCGTTTTAACTGATCAAATATTTTAATTGAGTCATGCATCGTATCTATCCTCCATTCCGAAACAAAGAAAAGCCATATATCAACTGACAAAAAAAAAACTGTCAGATATAATGAGTCACCAACGTATGACAGAGATTCTTTTAACAGTCTACAAATCATAGGTTCAAAAAGTTATTTTCATGCGTAAGTTAGGTATTAAATGTTAAAAAACAAATTTGTTGATGTGCCAGTTTCATAGGCCTTTTTGAACAAACGCATAACAACAACAGAGAAACATTGCGTTGAGGGGTCTGTGCATTTAACCTATTTTGTTTAAATTTGTTGTATCACTTAGTAATGCTAGCGATAGGACCGGAACAGCCATGGGCAACAGTGGGCGAACTATTGAGGAGCGCATAGACTGTTGACAGTCCCCTATTTTTCCGCGAGATCGTCGTGATATAGCGCGTTTTACCGTTAATTGCGGCCATCTTGATTTTCAGATGTAACGAGGGGGCGGATGTCGGGGATCATAGCACTCGATCTCGACGATCTCACCGGAAAATAGGGGAATGTGAACAGTCTAACGACTG